AGGAACGGAGGAAGTATTATATAAAGTAGGGTTGGCTGCATATTCCCCCTCTACAAATGCCACTAAAACCATTCCCCCCCCCCAAACCACTAAAGCCACTAAAACCATACCCCCTCCCCCCCAACTTTTTTCTCTTCAATTTCCTACGCAAACTTTATAAATTGATCGAAAAACTACACGAACTAATAATTTTTCTGAAATTCACCAAATGAAATTGATTAAGCTAAAACTATTGGTTAAATCGTGGTGACATGCCAGAATCAATCGAACAATTTTGAATTCTTCTTCGGCAGAGAAATTCGAAGAAATTCTTCTTCATGGTTACGGTTTAACCAATGGTTTTAGCTTAACCAATTTTATTTGGTGACTTTCAGAAAAATTATTAGTTCCTGTAGTTTTTCGATCAATTTATAAAGTTTGTGTAGGAAATTAAAAAGAAAAAAAGTTTGGGAGGAAATAGTTTTAGTGGCATTTGTAGAGGGGGAATATGCAGCCAACCCTATAAAGTAATCACAAGATTTGCCTGTATATATATTTTTTTTTTTGTCAACAGATTTGCCTGTATATAAGTAAGTAAGCACACATCATCTTTACTTGTTCCCTGAGATATTTACTCCCTCCGATTTCTATGATGGAAGTAGAATCAGAAACTCAAGAACTCCATATTCACGTCAATGGCGGTAAGTTGTTTAATCCCTACAAGATTTAAGCTTCTTGTGTTCTTCGTCTTTACTTATGTTCTTGTTCTGTTTTCATGTATTGATGTCAGAACCTGTAGAGAAAATTTCAACAGAAGAGAGAAGTCATAGCTACTCATGGAGGTTAAGAGTGTCTCTCTATGTCACTCTCCTTTTAGCTGGAGAGACAATAGCTACTCTCTTAGGTAGACTTTACTACGACAAAGGCGGTAAAAGCACTTGGCTCGAGACCTTGGTTCAGCTTGTTGGGTTTCCTTTAACCTTGCCTTGTTATTATTACCTAAAGCCTAAGCCTTCCAAGACTAAAACCATTACCGATAAAACTACTTCTTCTTTCTTGAAACTATCTTTAGTGTACATTGGACTTGGCTTGCTTGCTGCTGGACATAGTGTTCTGTATTCCTTTGGATTACTCTACCTTCCTGTCTCAACTTTCTCTTTGATCTCTGCGTCGCAATTGGCGTTTAATGCCGTCTTCTCTTACTTCCTAAACTCACAAAAGTTTACTCCTTTTATACTCAATTCACTTGTTCTCTTGACCATATCTTCAACACTTCTCGTCATTCAACATGAGCCTGAATCTTCCACTTCGAACTCCTTAGCCAAGTCTAACTATGTGATTGGATACATCTGCGCGATCGGTAGCTCAGCTGGTTATTCTCTGGTGCTTTCTTTAACAGATTACGCCTTCGAAAAAGTTCTAAAGAAGTACACTTTCAAGGCTATATTAGATATGGTCACATATCAGTCTTTGGTAGCTACTTGTGCAGTTGTGGTTGGACTATTTGGAAGTGGTGGATGGAAAACGTTGAGGACAGAAATGGAAGAGTTTAAACTTGGGAAAATCTCTTACATTTTGATAAATATCGGTTCAACGATATCGTGGCAAGCATTTTCAATTGGTAGTGTGGGTTTGGTTCTTGAAGTTTCATCACTTTTCTCAAATGTTATAAGCACTCTTTGTTTACCTGTTGTTCCTGTTCTTGCTGTTGTGTTCTTCCGCGATGAGATGAGTGGAATCAAGTTGATTGCAATGTTTTTGGCCATTTGGGGATTCATTTCTTATGCTTACCAGCATTATGTCGATGATAAAAAACCAGAGGAAGTGCTTCCTCAGCCT